AATTTAATTAATTAATTATATTATCTTTATTTCAGGCAATAATGTCATCCAATGTTAAGAATGGCACTCAAGAGGAATATCCGAAGGACTCGTTCGACAGATTCGGTGATGACTTGTGTGGACTCGTATTGTCTTATTTGTCACTGAAAGACAGCTTCAGATATGAATGTCTGTCCAAACAGTGGATGAGAACTGTATTCACGCGAAGACATACCCTCTCAGCCACTGATGTCGTGGCGATTAAGCGTCGACTCAGAGATTACGAAGAGTTTATAAATAATAGGTGCGAAGACCTGATGTCTGTTTTTAAAAAGTGGCCAAACATTACATCCATTGATATATACATCGATTCAGAAGACATGGAAGAAATGTTTGAAATACTACTGAATTCATACAAACACTCGTTGAAAGAAATTCACATCAGATTTGATTATAGAATTGATGTGCAAATAATGGACAGAATTTTGGCCAAATATGGCTCACTATTCACAATAATAGCTGTACCTAAAGCTGGTTATGAAATATTTAAATCTCATACAAAGTTTTATACAAAACTCAGACAATTATCCGGTTATTCCGGGGATAATCTATTGTCAGCGATTGTCACTGAAAACAATGAGATATTAGTCAAGAATTTGACAAAATTTCATTTATTTTACAGCGACTCTGATTGGCAGCGATTGAAAGCATTTGTTGATTACTATAAGAATTCTTTAAAGTGTTTATCATTTGCTTTCATTAATAAAAAGTCTGCCGAAGAATATATTCGTGTATTGAAATTGTTGTCTCAAATGAAAGCATTACGAGAGCTTAAGATTCAAATAACTTTTTTATATAATTCAGATGCAATTCAGTCTATCGTTGACTATCACTGCAAAGAGTTTGTCAATAAATGGCCACAACTCAAAAGATATCTACTGAAAGTCCGGTGTGAAACTGATCTACAAGTGAGACAATTGTATGAATCGATTAATAGCATGAAAAGCTTACAAAGACTGGACTTAAGACTCATTACAACTGAAAAATCCAAAGAAAAGAGCATTGAATTGACACCGAAATCATTGTATCCATTGAAACGGTTAACACAATTGTCGTTAGTGTTAGAGAATAGTGTATTGAATGCGAGATTCTTTGACTCAATTCACACATATTTACCACACATTCAGACGTTGAATATCGAGACTATACTGAAAAGAAGCGCAAGTATTGAGGAATCTGTGAATAAATTGCCAAAACTTAAGTCCTTTTCATTGATTTCACATTTTGAAGAATATAGCGCCGAATAAATGGTATAATCAGTAAACAATTTAAACATTTATTGCATTTTTAAAACCTTTTTTTGCTACTATTAACTTGTTAGAATTGTTTTTATTTATAAATATTCATATATAATTAACATTGATTTAATTAATTATATAATTATCGTATAAATGTGTAATATTTACATTAATTTCAAAATGTTTTTGTATTAGCATTTCAATCGATTCTGTATTTTTTTTATAAATAAAATTTGCCTTGTTTATTTTAATAATTTAAAAGTAATTTATTTAATTCTTAATTTTTATAGTTCGCAAATCCACTTAAATAACGAAATACTATTATATTATAAACCTAAATGTGATTTAAAACATATCGTATTGTCTTATCTGTCACTGAAAGACAGCTTCAGATATGAATGTCTGTCCAAACAGTGGATGAGAACTGTATTCACGCGAAGACATACCCTTTCTGTCAGTGATGTTGTGCCCGAGGAATGGGTGACGAGTTATGATGAGACCATTTCTGCTAATGAATGCAAGTCTTTAGTATCAGTGATCAGAAAGTTTGCAAACCTTAGATCCATTTGAATAAAACATTGTTAGACTTATTATTTGTTGCGACAATAGTTTCTGATCCGCAAACACATTGTCTTCACTTCTTGTGTCCACAACTTTATCTTTACTGCTCTTGAGGTTCACTTTTTGCACAAAAACTTTATGATAAATTACTTTTAAAAAAGTTTTTTATTAAATACTAATTTAATGTATAAATAATAGTCACAATCATTTAGTTTGAATTTTACATTTATTTTAACGATAATAATAAATACAATTACGATAATAGTGTTTGCATTGAATTACAAATTGATTGCGAATGCATTCATAATTTATCCTTGATACTATATTTGAATTTTGTGGCAAAAATTTTGAAAAGTAGCGCAAAGTATTGGTAATAATTAACGTATAAGTTATTACTGAAATGATGTCCCCTTTGATGAGTGAATGTATGCATTAGTGATACAAACCCTCATATAATACTCACACGTATTGTCACATCATTTATACACTTATTATCACATGTTTTGTGTGTTTCAGTGAATGACTTACAATGTGTTAAATGTGTGACCACTGAAGACATTGGACTCAAGAAGTTGTCGACAAATGTCAACAGAAATGGTATGTTTTAGCGATTGTCCACTCAATACATGCTCTCATATACCTCTAATACATTTGTTCACTCACTTAACAATTGATTACAATTATCTGTGTTTTAGAGAAAGATGTCGACGAATGGCCCTCAAGAGGAATATCCAAAGGACTCGTTCGACAGATATGGCGATGACTTGTGTGGACTCGTGTTGTCTTATCTATCATTCGAAGACTCTTTCAGATATGAATATGTGTCCAAACAGTGGCAGCGATTGGTATTCAAATATCAAGAACACTTCCAAATGACTAAATTCTTAGACAAATGCCTTATTACAAGAGGCAATGGCGTTGAATATATCAATTGGGAGCCATTGCTATCAATTATCAGAAAGTGTCCAAACATTACATCCATTTGTATTTGGATTGATTCAGAAGCGACGGAAAGAGTGTTTGAAATACTCATCAATTCATACAAACACTCATTGATTGCTATTGAAGTCAGATTTGACAAAGAAATTGATGTGAAAATAATGGACAGAATTGTGTGTAAATATGGCTCACTATTGACTGCTATATCAGTCCCCCGAAAGGGTTATGAAGTGTTTATAAGGCATTCAAAGTCTTATACAAAACTCAAACAATTATTAAGTTCTTCCTCAGGAAGTCTATTGTCAGCGATTGTCACCGAAAACAATGAGATATTAGTCAAGAATTTGACTCAAATTAACTTCTATTACAACTCATCTGATTGGCAACGATTGCAAGCATTTGTTGATTACTATAAGAATAGCTTAAAGTCTATTGATTTAGGTTTTAACGAAATGTCTGTTGAACAGTGTATTCCTGTATTGAAACTCTTGTCACAAATGCAATCATTACGAGAACTAAATATTGATATACTTTTGAGTATAGGTACTTTTCACATTCAGTCTATCGTTGACTATCACTGCGACGAGTTTGTCAATCAATGGCCACAACTCAAGAGATATCAGTTGTTTATGATGTGCTTAACTGAACCACAAGTGAGACGATTGTATGAATCCGTGAATCGTATGAAACGCTTACGAAGAGTGGAGTTACGACTGAATAATTCATATCAAAACTATTTTCAAAACACCATTGAATTGACACCGAAGTCATTGTCACCATTGAAACGATTAACACATTTGGAGTTATGTTTTTGTGGATATTTTTTAAATGAGACATTCTTTGACTCAATTGACACACATTTACCACACATTGAGTCGTTAATAATGACGACTTTATTAGCAAAGAGGAGTCCGTTGGGTATTGCGAGTATTCGAGAGTCGGTCGCAAACTTACCGAAACTTAAATATTTAAAACACTTTTAAATTGGCAATAATTAAAGTGCGCTCAATTTTATACTCAATTATCGCTAATTACTGTATTGTACAATATTATAGTTGATATCATATTTTACACAATTCAAATGAATACAAATTGATTTTTGAATTCACGTTTATTAATAATGTAAATTTACATGAATTACTATGCATACAATTATCGTACAAATGACTGCTTATACGTTTAGTTAGTGTTTAATAAATGAGTGATAAATATATGAATGTTTTGACGGTAATCAACATAAAGTCAACTATTGTTTGGTCGACGCCTCCCGTTCCCCATCGCCGGTGTCCTCGACTGCAGTAATAGTTGTGGTAATCGTCTCATCACTACCGGCGCTGTCGTTGTCTTCGCTGTGTTTGTCGACAACTTTGACGGCAATCACTCTCTCTTGTGGTGATGTCTTCACCGGCGCTGAGATGACAAGCAATCCATTGAACGCCAAACTCGAAGCCATTGCCTTCACATCCGTGTCCACTGGTATGGCATACCTTCGTGTGAACTGACGGCTCACATACCCACCGGCGCTCTTATCCTCCCTCTCGTCGTGCTTTCCGGTGACAATCAGATCACTTCCGACCACTTTTACGATGATCTCATTGGCGGTAAAGTGTTTGACATTGAGTTTAACGCTAAAGACATCACTTTTGCCTCGTTTTGGTTGCGACGACAACCTCCGGTCTTCACAGTTGTGTCCATTCAAGCGCTTCAACGCTCGCTTTCGACCGAACATTGTCTCCATTTCTTGTGTCCACAACTCGTCCATCGATGGCATTAAGAACATCATCTTTACTGTACTGCAGGTGAAGCTGTAAACGCACAAAAACTCTGAGAAAAATAACTTTAGAAAAGTTTTCAAAAAGTTTTTTGTATTGAGAATTGATTTCCAGTGAAACTTGTGTTGAGTTTTGCATTCAATTCCTATTTATATTCGCAAACAGTTTTCCACAAACTTCTCGAAAATACTGTTACGTTATGTCTGTTACAGGTCAATTAAAATGCAGGCTATTATAGAACTGAGCGCCGGTATTGAGGAATCGGTGAAAAAGTTGCCAAAACTTAAATGTTTTGAATTCAATAAATATTTTTGAAGCAAATATTGCTAATACTTTAGTAATAATTACCGTATTTAAATTTAACAATAATTTTGTTGTTAAAGTTATAAAAACTTAACATTTGTTACATAATTGCTTAAACAGTATTCCTAATGAATGCAAATAACTATAAACAATACATTTCCATAATAATTAATTTTGTGTTTAAAAATTAAATTCTCATAATATTATCATACTGTATCTTTTAAACTAATTCTGTGTTTTGTTTTACTTTCAAACTTTTAATAAATAAAAATATTA